CCATCGCTACTAGGGTGGAGGCCATCGCTACTAGGGTGGAGGCCATCACTATTAGGGTGGAGGCCATCGCTACTAGGGTGGAGGCCATCGCTGGTGGAGGCTATCGCTATTCAGATATATTGAGAGTCAAAAGGTGCGCGACATCTACGTTCTGTTTTTGCAGATGCCGATGGTCGACTGTTCAACTGGTGTCATCAAAAGGTTACCTCTGTGGTGACTGGTTGATGTACATAGTAGAGCACGCTAACCACCCAGTGAGTTGGACGTGCTCCTTGAGGAACAATGTAGGGCCCTATTCCAAGTGCGTGCAGTAATATCACCTCTGGTTTAGGAAGGGAAATGCCCATCACTGGTTGGTTTCGGCCGCTGTAGAACAACAGGCCTTCATGCCAAGGTTCCACAGGGGTGGATGTGGACTGAGAATTGGAAAGGGAGCGGGTGGTTTCTCCTTGGACCGTGTGCTTGGCAGTTCCTGTTTTGGATATTTCATGTGCTTCCCTAGACAGGACACACCGGTAAGTAGCAAGGGTACCGATTTTCAAAAACCCTTGTGCTACACCACTGCTGCCACGGCACTTCAGTCCCAGCTAACCATATACCAGAAAGTATCAAACAAAACAAAGTCCTATTCCCACATGGGTATGCTCCAAAGGAGCAAAATGAATGGTTCATGGATTGGCGGTCTTGGGCACCGAGTTTCGCAGATCTTGGAGTACTTGTCTAACCCATTTCCATAGCTTCTAATAGCTTCTTGTTACTACTAGTAAGGCACTTGTTACTAGAAGCGATGCACTTGTTCCTAGTAGCTTATCGTTTCTAATTCTACTCATTGAGTTTCCTTTGGTAAATATATCTTAAAAGCAATGGCCTCCTAAAGTTTCTGTGAACTCGCTGCCTTCAGCGAAGAACTCGTCGGGGATCAACTTGGCCGCCTTTGGGAGCTCTCTCTCCTCGCAAGTGGTGCGAAACGAGGCGGATGAGATGACGAATCGCACCCTTACCGCTCATGTCATCCCAATCATTCCGTAGGGGCTCCTGGCCTTACTACTAGGAACAATGTTTGCTAAGCCATTAGAAGCAAGAAATAAACACAATCAACATTCAATTAAAACTCATTAGAAGTGACGCGCGGGGGGTAGGAGCAAGGACGCTACTAGGAGCAAAGGGTATCGCTACTAGGAGCAAGAAGCTACTAGAAAACATCTTGGGCAACTCCGAAAATTTCTTCGCCCCAGCATTCCCTCATCTCGGTGGAGGCCATTACTATGAGGTTGGAGGCCACTGCTATTACAGTAGGTTGGAGGCCATCCTCACCCCACAAGACTCCTCATATTCCCTCTACAAGACTTACTGCTAGGAGCAAGGACGCTACTGGGGGCTCTCCTCTCTTGCCTTTCGCGTCACCAGCCATCGGCCCATCGCTGAAAAAACCACGCTGCTCGCGCCGGCACGTCCCCAGCGGCTGTGTTTCAGCGAAGGACGAACAGCTTGGAACGGAGGCGGTGCCATCCATGGCACTGCCAGTTGGGGCGCGGGCAACATGGCAAACGCACGCAGAGTATGTTGTAATCCACCCGGATGTTGGTCGACAAAACCAGGCGTTTCCACGAACTATGTTTCTAATCTTTCATCTCTCCTGCTTGGTCCGCTTTGTTCAGTCTGGAGGTTCCTTGCAGGACGTGGTGGTGGGTTCAGATCCAAAAGGAAGAACATACACCCAAATGCTTTCGGTAGTTGATTCATCACTTTTGCAGCAGTTCAGTCACTAGAGTTTCCAAGAACTTAGTTGGGACTCTTTGAAGACAGGTCAAACAGTACAAACTGCATGGCATCTCAGGAACTCGTAACACAGGTCAAAGACGTGATTATTTTTAAATATACTTTAGGTTTCCTTGCAGTTAAACATATCGGGTCTGCTGATCAAATGTCGGAAGTCTAAGAAGTAAGGAGGCTTTGCGCCTCACTGCTTCGAGCCATTGGCCAAACAGCAAAAATCCATGGGTTGTGGATTTGTCAAATAAAGTGATTGGGCGCCTTACTACTAGGAACAAGGACGCTAGCATCGCTGGGAGCAAGGACGCAACAAACTTGTGCTTTGGCCGCTCGTGCCACTTGTGCGGCGCCTGCATCTTGGCCGCCACCTTGGCAGCCTGCGCCACGGTGTCCGCGGGGTCCGCCGACTTGGACCTTGATCGAAACGAACACGTCGGTCGCAGATTGGCAAAAAGCAGTGAGCTACTAGTAGCTTCTTGCTCCTAGTAGAGATGCCCTTGTTCCTAGTAGCTTCTAGCTACTAGAAGTAATGCCATTGTTACTAATTAGTAGGGATGCACTTGTTACTAATGGCGATTCACCTTGCTACTAGTGTTTCGACTTGGCTCCCTTTTGTGCCGTTCTGTTGGGGGACAGCGTTAAAAGGGGGCTCTCTTTTTGCCGGTGCGTTTCATTCTGCGTTAGGGAAAGGCTTCAGGTCGGATTCTAAAGCCTAAACACTCTTGAGGGATGGAACAGGTTTGCCCTCCCAAATACGATCGTCCGAAAACCACCAGCATCTTGTGAATGGCTGGGAACCCCCGAAGCGTTGTTTTGAGCAAAACAAGCGCGAACTGCTCAGTTGATTTGGTCCGTCAATTTGTACTGCCACCCACCTGACAAACTGGAGCCTTTACGAAAGACTCAGTCCGCTTGGAGCAACCTATCACCTCCATAAACTTGGTGGGCACGAAGAGGAGACTGCCCTGTTTGTAGCTCTTGCAAGTAGAAAGAACGGTTTAATATAGTTTGCTATTAGGTTGGAGGCCATCTCTATTGGGATGGAGGCCATCGCTAGTAGGTTGGAGGCCGTGGCTATTAGGTTGGAGGCCATCAGGCTAAGTTGACGAATTGGTGGTTCCGCTCCAAAGCCAAGAACTCCAAGCTTCCCGGCTGCTCGGCCTCCTCTTCACGGCGTTTCCCTTTGCCCTTACCCTTCTTGGGCTTGTCAGGCTCGAGCCAGGGATCCTTGAAGTCATCCTCTTCCTCGCAAAACAAAGAATAAAGAAGGCAACAAGGAAGACACAAAAGGCCAATGAAAGCCGGAAACGACACACATGCACAAAACATGAAAAGCAAAGCAAGGAGCAATAGCGGAACAAAGTACAGCAAGAAAAACATCAACCGACTAAGTTTAGAAGAAACGCAGCTGCGGCGGCACAAAGTGTTTGCAATGGAGATTGAGGTGCTATGAGGTGGGAAGATGCTTTTTCCTATGATTTTCGGGAGGTGTAGACCGTGAAGAGGTCGAAGGGAGAAGATGTATCAGAAGCGGCAAGAAGAAGGACGGTCAGAAAAAGGAAGCTGAAGAAGCAGCTGAAAAGCAGCTACCAAGGGTGCTGAAAAGCTGTAGCTACTGGATGCTGAAAAAGCAGAAAACCCAAGTTCTTCAACGGAGCTTGTTTGAAACACCTTTTGCACTGTCGATTTGGTTCCTACTACCGACGGCCTCCAACCTGGAAGCGAATGCTTCCAACCAACTAGCGATGGCCATGGGAAAACATCACTTTTAGACCTTTCCTTTCTTTTTCCTTTCTTTACTGCAGCTGGCCCGCTGGCAATCAACGAGAACCCTTCGGCATTGGTGCATTCGTGTGATTCTGAGGTCAAGAAGAGGCTGCCATCAGCATCCGCCTACACAAAAACATAGCTCAAAGCTACTCCACGATAGGTTAGAGGCTATCGCTAGTAGGGTGGAGGCCATCGCTCTTAATGTTCAATTCCAACTGGAAGAAAGATGCCCGCACTCTCCGGACACTCTCCGGGGCACTCCATTCTCCAGGTACCCCGCACAGCACAGGACACCGTGGCACCATTGGCTGCTCCTCAAAGTCTCCAATGAGCAAATCGCTCTTGGCTTGTTGGCGCTCTTGCTGCTGCCTGACGCTGACTCAACTTGCAAATCTACAACTTCGTCTCTTTTGACCTGTGAGGTGGATCTGCAGGAAGAGATCTTCAATGATCTTTACCAAGAGATCTGTGCGTTATCTTCCTTGAAACAGTTGCAATTCTATCTTTCAGGCTGTAACGCACTTGTTCTTTATTTACTTTCTATCACATTCACAACCCCCAAAAGAGTCTTGCTCTGGTGAACGCCATAGAAAGCATCCTTTCTTCTCAGATTCTAATCTTTTAGCCTGTTGACCTTCCGACTGTGTTCACCCACCCAGGTTTATGTAGATATCAGATAGTCACCTTTTTGATGTTGAGGTTCTGCAAAGCAACTGCAAGAGCCTGGGACCCACAGACTGTTTTCGCTTGGGGAAGGTTGTCAAACCCTGGATGAGCAGCACCTACAGTGGGGTCTTTTTCGACCACTGTAGACTTTCACAGAGCTGTGTGCTTTAAGCATTTGACGTCATTTGCCTTCATCTCATCACCAGCCTCAGCTAGAAAGCGCATCACTTCTGAGTGGCCCTGCCTAGCTGCACAATGCAAAGCTGTATCACCACTTGGCATGGCAGCCTTCTTATCAGCTCCAGCCCTAACTAACAATCGCACCACTTCCAAGTCGCCGTTCCCAGCTGCTAAATGCAAAGCTGTCAGGCCAATTGCGTCAAAAGCTTTCTTGTCAGCGCCAGGCTCAACCGGAACTTGGACCACTTCCCAGTTTCCTTTCTCACCAGCTGCCATTGCTGCGTTGATGTCGGCACCAGCCTTTACCAAGCATCGAACCACTTCCAAGTGGCCATTCTCAGCGGCGCAAATCAATGGTGTCGCACCATCTGCACTTGCAGCATCCTTGTCAGCTCCAGCCTCGACCAACAATCGAACCACCTCCAGATTGCCAAGCCACGCTGCAGAATGCAGAGCAGTGTCACCACTTGGCA